AGTTTCAGTTTAAGATTTATTTGAAACTTGGTTTAAATAAAAATTAGTTTAAATTTAAACAAGTTTAAGTTTAATAAAAACTTTAATCTCAGATTCACAAATGAGTTTCCTTTACTAAACTGCATCTGTAGGTCTCTGTTCATAAACATAAACTAGCCTAAACTAATTTACTATAAAATGAAAGTGTTTGTATAAATTCAGAAAAAAGAAACATGCCGGTCACAACTGCATATGTGTTCATATTTCTATATTGTGGTCTATTTATGCAAAGTTCCATCATTGAACCATATGCTTGCACTGGGTCTGTATGTCCAACAGGTAAAAACAAGCTCAAAACAAAGTGAGCGCTGTGCCCTGATTGGTGTGCTGCTTTGCGCTTCTTTTGTTTTGACAGGTTATTTTTTTTATACAAACATAAACCAAAAGGAGCGACAGATTTCTCATAATGTAGTGGAGTAAAAAGTGAGATATTTGACTGTGAAATGTAGTGGAGTGAAAGTAAAAAGTCACCCAAAAAGGAAATACTTCAGTACAGTACAGATACACGAAAAAAGTACTTAAATACAGTAACTAATTACTTTTACTTCATTACTGTCCCTTTACTGAGACTACAGGCCATGAAGTAAACTCCTTTGAAGTCCGGAGTCTTAGAGTCGCCAGCCCCTGTCCTGCCTCTAAATCAAATAACTTTATATTTTCTACAATCTATCGTCCCCCGGGCCCTTACTTTGAGTTTCTTAAAGAGTTTGCAGAGTTTCTTACGAGTATAGCTCTCTGCGGATAAAGCTCTGATAGTAGGAGATTTAGCATTCATTTTGAGAATATTCAAGACCCTTTAAAAATAGCTTTTGAAGCACTTCTTGATGCTATGGGCTTTAATCAAAATGTGATAGGGCCTACACACCACTGCTACCACACCTTAGATTTAGTACTACCCATGGGAATCAGGATAGAAAACTTAGTAACTGTCTCTCAGAATGAATGCATCTCTGATCATTACTTAATTTTGCATTAAGTCATTTTGGACTATAATGTATGCATACCATCCCACTATCACCACAAGTGAACTATGACTGCCTCCCCTACAGACGCTCTTATAAATAGTTTACCAGATTTATCAATCATCCCTGCCCCGTTGGGCTTCGATGATCTTGAAAACAATACTAAAATTTTGCAATCCACACTTCAGTCATCTCTTGATAATGTGGCACCGATTAAGATGAAAAAAGTTAGAAGAAAAAAGCTTCACCATGGTACAAGACCGTACACGCATGCTAAAACTAACAGCTTGTAGAACTGGAACGTAAATGGTGCATATGAAAACTATTTCTGAATTGAATGGAAAAACAGCATAAAACAGAGGATATTCAAACAACATATAGCAGCAATGATTTTAGCAGATTCTTCAATGATAAAATAAAAAATAGACTACAAATCCAAAATCCGCCTATAGATCTATTACCACAACATGATGAGTGCCCTGCCAGACCAAAAGTCCAGTTGCTATCTTTTAGTCTTAACCAAACAAATGAATTAGTCACACTGATTAGCTCCTCTACAACAACATTAATTTAGACCCTTTCACAGTACTGAACCAGCATTAACTAGAGTAGTAAATGATCTCCTTGTGCCTCTTGATAGCGGCCATATTTGCATACTAGTCCTTCTAGATCTCAGCGCAGCATTCGATACTTGATAGGCTGGAAAACCTGGTTGGTATTAAAGGACCAGCTCTGTCATGGTTCTGATCTTATCTGACAGACCATTATCAATTTGTCAGTGTTAACAATAAACACTCTGATCACACGCTAGTACAATATGGTGTCCCCCAAGGATCTGTGCTCGGGCAACTGCTTTTCGGTCTGTACATGCAACCTCTTGGTAACCTAATTTGCAGATTCGGTGTTAGTTTTCACTGCTATGCGGATGACACACAACTTTACATATCTGGTAAACCAAATGAGGCTCTAAATTGAAATTATCTTAAAGAATGTGCTAAAAATCTCAAAAGCTGGATGACCAACAATTTCCTTCTCCTTAATCCTAACAAAACTGAGGTGCTACTACCAGTGGTGGACAGTAATGAAGTAAATGTAATTTGTTGGTGTACTTAAGTAGTTTTTTTGTGTATCTGTACTTTACTGAAGTATTTCCATTTTAGGCGACTTTTTACTTTCACTCCACTACCTGATGGAAACTGTTTGCCTTCAGTGTTTTGTGCTGATGATAATTTTAATAGACATCAGCGTCACTAATTAATGACATTCTATTAAAAGACTGGTTTACCAAGAGAGACACTGGAGTATTTTCACCTAAAATGAGTTAATGAAGCGAGTCTTGTTACAAAAATGATAATAGGACATCAGAGCCATAATTCATCTTTTAGTACTTTTCCTTTGATAACAAATACTTTTGTACTTTTACTCAAGTGGAGGTCTAAAGGGAGGAACTTCTACTTTTACTGGAGTAATATTTTACCTTGGGTGTCTCTACTTTAACTCAAGTACATGATTTGTGTACGTCGTCCACCACTGCCTACTACTTGGACCCAAAGCAGAGTGATCTCAACTTTCCAATTTTGAACTAAATTTAGATGACCATACGGTCATTCCAAGCACTACTGTGAAACATCTAGGTGTCATCTTCGATTCCAGCAGTGGTGGACAGTAACTAAGTAAATGTAATTCGTTACTGTACTTAAGTAGTTTTTCCTGTATCTGTACTTTACTGAAGTTTTTCCATTTTGGTGACTTTTTACTTTCACTCCACTACATTTCAGAGTCAAATATCTCACTTTTTACTCTGCTACATTCTGAGAAATCTGTCATTCCTTTTGGTTTATATGTGTATAAAAGCGCAACATGTCAAAATAAAAGAAGCACAAAGCAAGAACACCAATCAGGGCACAGCGCACTTTGTTTTGAGCTTGTTTTGACCTGTTGGTCATACCGACCCAGTGCAGCACACGGTTCAACATCAGTGCAGCAGCGTCAAATTTTGGGAGAGTCTATTCAGCATAAATGATGAACTAACCTAACTTTGCATAAATAGACCACAATATAGAAATATGAACACATATGCAGTTGTGACTGGCATGTTTCTTTTTTCTGAATTTATACAAACACATTTCATTTTATAGTGAATCTGGTTTGTCTAGTTTATGTTTATGAACAGAGACCTACAGATGCAGTTTAGTAAAGGAAACTCATTTGTGAATCTGAGTTTAAAGTTTTTATTAAACGTAAACTTGTTTAAATTTAAACTAATTTTTATTTAAACCAAGTTGCAAATAAATCTTAAACTGAAACTTTGCTTGTTTGTAAAAAGTGATTTCAGAGCCACTCAGTTCTACCTGATGGAAACTGTTTGCCTTCAGTGTTTTGCGTTTATGATAATTTTAATAGACATCAGCGTCACTAATTAATGACCTTCTATTAAAAGACTGGTTTACCAAGAGAGACACTGGAGTATTTTCACAAAATGAGTTAAAGAAGTGAGTCTTGTTACAAATATGATAACAGGACATCAGAGCCATAATTAATCTTTTAGTACTTTCAGTTCTGATACTTAAGTACATTTGAAGGCAAATACTTTTGTACTTTTACTCAAGTGGAGGTCTGAAGGGAGGAACTTTTACTGGAGTAATATTTTACCTTGGGTGTCTCTACTTTAACTCAGGTATAGGATTTGTGTACTTCGTCCACCACTGGATTCCAGTCTCTCTTTTGATACACGTTTGCAACGTTGTTAGAATCGCATTCTTTCACTTGCGTAACATCATGAAACTACATAATATTCTAGCCCTAAACGATGCAGCAAAACTTGTGCATGCATTTATAACCACCAGGCTGGACTACTGCACCGTTTTGTATTATAGTATCTTATACTAAAGCTGTTTGCTATCCGGTGTCGACCAGAGGAGGATGGGTTCTCCTTCTGAGTCTTGGTTCCTCACAAGGTTTCTTCCTCTTGCTCTTAGAGAGTTTTTCCTTGCCACTGTTGCCATGGGCGACGCTCATGGGGCCTCGGACCTGGATTTGTCTGTAAAGCTGCCTTGAGTTGACTTGAACTGATTCAAAATCAAAGTTTTAAACCTATTAAGGACTTTTACTTACATTATGCCTTAATTACATATAGGGTTTAAATGATTTGCACATCACTGCATTTTGTTTTGATTTACATTTTGCACAGCATCCCTACTTTTTTGGAAATGGGGTTGTATTTGAACTGAGCAGCAGTTTCACACTTGAATGTAAGACTAAAGGTAGGAACCTTAAAATATAAACAAAATATAATTGTGAAAATAAACCCAACAGTTTTGTCCTGTTTGCTGTTTCAAATATCAGCAGTTCTAATTCTTGTTAGATTTTTTCTAATGATTTGATTTTGTTTTCCTTCTATATTGTTGCCCTCAGGTGCGGTCAGTTACCCGAACAACAGCTTCTCTTCTGTTGTGTCTTTGTTTGTTTATCTCACTAAAGCACAAGCATCACCACCAAAGAATGAGCGTCTCCTACCACAAAGTCCAGCCCTCTTTCCTGATGTCTGCATATGTGGATGTGTTCACTGAAGTCTAGTTTAGTATAAAGACCAACACACAACCACTCACTGTTCAGCATGAATCACACTGCTGTCTTCTGCTTTAGGCTTTATTGGTGATGGAGACGTTCTTGCTTGTGTGTGTGATGTTTGGTGGACGTTGCTCTGAACTGGAATGGGCTGGTGGAAGCTGGAGGTCTGCACGTCTGATGTTACTCAACCCTGTCACTGTTGGTCTCCTCATCCCGGTCCAGAAACAACAATAACTGTGTCAGTAGCTTCTATGTGAGCAGTAAAGACGAGTACAGTTCATATCCAGCTGAATAATGTTTGTGTACTGAAGCTGCAGACTGAACTCTGACTGTTAAAGAACTTTAACAGTGTTTAAAACCAGCAACCAATCTTTTTGGTAGTCGAGCTGATCATAATGGCATGTATGTAGAAAAGCTCCTCACCGTAAAGAAGGTTTCCACAAGATTGTCCAGCAAACAAGCTTGTGACCTGTATTTCTGCATGTGCTGGTCCATGGCGGCCAGTAACTGCAGATGTCTGGTTATCAATTCGATCTTCCTACAAATGTAAACAATAAAAACCCTTTAGAGAATTTTTTTTCATATTCTTTTTGAGTCTATACTGATCCTACACTGACATGCTTGTCGGAGCCACATAAAATTATTTGTGAAGTCGTCTCTCTCACCTCTTGCTGTGTCTGCTTTCACTAGAAACCTGTCTGAGAGCCTCCTTGTATAGTTCCTCCTCTATCTCAGACCGGCTCATCTCCAGGACTGTTGAAGTGAGAGAGATCCAAACAACAAATACAGAACGTGTGAATTCAAGAAGAGGAGTTTAAAAGATCACAGATTTGAGGTTTGCCCCACGCGCTGCTGTACTGACGGTTCATTTATACACCTTCCACAAAACTGGAAATACATTAACTATCTACTTTAAAGGCTTTGCTTCATAGACTGTTCTCCCTTCTTGTGATACTGGGTTCCGTAAAGAGCTACATTTGGTAACTGATTCCAAAGATCAAAGCACACTGGAGACGGCTCTATGAAAACATGCCTGCTGTTGAAGGAACACAGAGCTGAACCTATGAAGTGGAACCAAGTGGACACTCGCAAAAAAGACATTCTCCAGGTTATCAGTGAAGGCTTAGGATACAATTTAAAAAGATGTTATATTTGGAGATTCTGTTACACACTTACCTTCTACTGCCTTCTCGGTGGACTGAACTTCACCTTCGTTCAATTCTGGGGACTAAAATAAGAGCTTAGTTATACACAGAAACATTCCACATGCTTGATTATTCTCCACTGCAGGTGTTTTAACTCTCTGTACCTTTTGACTCTTGAAATGCCTCTTTTTGCAGATGCTCAGCCGGAAGTTGTCCACTAACACTGCAACGAAGAGACTAGGAAGACAAAACATTAAGAACAAGTGATTAAATTAGATTAGGTTAGCAGTCACTGCCTAGTGATCGGTCCAGGCAGTCAGGCTTGTGATGGAAACCTGAAAGACATTTTGCTGCCCATATGTGGCTCACAGAACAGACATTGATTAAAGATGTACAGACAGAGGAAGTAAACGATGTGAGGTGCCCCTGTTGGTTGGGAAAAACATGGAGAAGAAAAAAAGGTCAGATTTCCAGCTGGACAGAAAATCACAGTTACCAGAAAAGCTAAAAACTCAGCTACTTTAGATCCTTAGACAGACATCACTATGCATCTATCTGAATATGGTCATTTGGCTGAAATAATATTGTGTGGCTATTTTCAGACGCCACCTCCCCTCGCCACTCCCCCAGAAAAGAATTAGTGCACTGGTTCTTTTATCTATATCTGCTTACTTTATAAATAAATAGCTCCCCCAGTCGCATTTGAGTATTCAGTGAATTTCTTTTAAAAATACTGAATCTTATCAATTCAATTTATTCGAACCAGCGTGACATTCAAGATTTAGTGAATCGTAATCCAGTCAAATCGTTGTGAGGTCAAAGATTTTGCTCAAATTGGCTAAATTCACAACTTTCAATGAAAGCTATGACTTTCATGAGTGCTTTTCACATGATATGGTGATGCCCAAGAAGAGATGACCCCTTACCGTTGTCTCTGCCTGTCATATAGATGAGGGACCAGTCATCCAGCGTGAGAATCAGAAAGAGGGTGAAGATGGTCCTGAATATGCTCCCGAATTGTTCCATGTCTGACTCCTTAAACGTCTCCCGGAATATCATAGCAAAAATAAACAGGAACAGGAACATGAGGATGATGATGGAGCTCATGGACCGCAAAGACTGAAGGCAGGTTAAAAGGATGGCCTGGAGACCCTTGAAGAAGCTAGCAGAAAAAAGAGAGAGTCCTCGAGTTATTATTATACATTAAAAAACATGGACACATGCAGGTCCGGTCCATTAGACTGGTCTACTTTTACAAATACGAAAGCCAATAAGAGCCGTACAGATGCAGCACCATATTCATGTTCACTGGCTTAAAAATTCATTACATGTAATGTTCACACAGCACACAGTCCTTCTTTACAGGTGTGGGGTTTCACCTCTCTTCTTTTGTTGTTTTGACTGCATAAAAATTAAAAAGAGGTCAGAGATTCTTTGGGGCTGGCCCAATCAGCTGTGCTTGTCTGCATGTCTTTCAAACCTTAAAGTCCAAAACAAATACTTGAAAAACAGCCCATACCATTCCTCGCTACAAGCATGCAGACAACAGGCCTGTGATTTTATAGTGTTGCCCCATACGATAGTCTGTTTGGCCCCATAGAGTCTTGCTGCAGTTCCTTTAAGTCTCAGCAAGATCATTTCACATCAATGCAAGGGGTGTGTAGTTTTCCTTACCGGATGGCTTTGAGCAGACGTAAAGCTCTGAATGCTCGGGCTCCTTTCAAAGTCTACTGCTAAAGCCTCCTGCTGACTGCACCAGCGACAGCGTAAAGTCCACCAAACTCATGAGCACAATAAAGAAATCTGAGAGAAACAAGAAAAAGAGCTATTAAACACATTCTGGCATTCCAACATATAAACATAAGCGTAAACTTGCAGGAAGAGGCTGCCATCATAAGACCACAGTGACTGCTCTCATCAGAGGTTGGTCAGCTCACCCAAATCATTCCAGGGGTTCCTGAAGTATGTACGTCCCCGCACCAGGATCTTAAACACAGCCTCCATCACACAGAACACCAGCAAACAGCTGTCCACTGCTCAGAGACACTGACCTAGTACAACAATATAAAACAACAAGGAACATTTACTCTCAGTGTAATAAGGCAGGGGTCACTTTATCCTTAGTCCTGAGAGGAGTTACACGTCATAATGGAGTCTTGGAGTTGGACTCAATCAGGATTATGCATATAAACGTGTGTGTATCAGCATTAAGTTATGTTGCGTATGTGTACATGTATGTCACTGATCCACGCTCTGATCTCTAAAGGAACCAGCCATGATTCTGAGATTTTATCCCAACCAAGACAAAATGTGAGTGGACAGAGTGACCATGAGTGCTGGAAAGGATATGACCGTACCTGTCCTGACAGTGACGCCCTGGAAGGTCTGGGCCATCAGCGTGCCTGTATCGAGCAGCACCACCAGCATGATTAAATCACATCACCAGCCTTAAACTGCTCATGACCCTCTACACAGAGAGAGAGAGAGACAGAGAGAGAGAGAGAGAGAGAAAGTGAGAGAGAGAGAGGGAGAGAGAGAGAGAGACAGAGAGAGAGAGAGAGAGAGAGCGAGAGAGAGAGAGAGGGAGAGAGAGAGAGAGAGAGAGAGGGAGAGAGGGAGAATTTTAACCCCCCTTTTATTGAAGCATTAATAATTAAAGGATTTTACATCCTACAATAAAGAGCTAACAGTTATATTAATAATGATTATAATAGTTATATTAATAAATTTCACAATGAGATGATATCACACCCAGATCACTGACAGATACAATACTTTCACCAGCACACCACTTTTCCTCAAAACAGGAAATGTTATGAGTACTTTGATAAAAAACAAACTCAACTCTAATGCGTGACGCCACTAGAACTCGGAACAGTTTCAGAACACCCACCTCCTGCCCTTCAGACACCGACCTGAAGGACTTCCACACTGATAACTTACATATCCAGCCATTACCATGTCTTGGGACGTCTTAAGACATGTCTTAAGACACATTATGAAGACGTCTTAGGACATCTTGAGGCATGTCTTAAGAAATGAAGACATGTCTTTAAGACGTGTCTATAGACACGGATCGTAAGATGTCTTGGCAATAATAACATCTCAAGACGTCTCAAGATGTAGGATGCATAATACGTATTTTTAAATTTTACCCACATTTTTTAAATAAATCTTTTACTTTTAAATATTTTTAAGGGATTTTTAAAACGTAACATTATTTATAGCAAAAATTCTAGTAATTAATTTTTTTTCATTATTTAATTTTTTTGTTCTATGTAGGATGCATAATAGTGTCTTTTATTTTAATATATATATTGTATATTATTTTATAAACATACAAACATTACATACATTAGTACATACATTTATACATATCAGAACAAATTTAACAACAAAAGTAATAATAATAATAATAATAATAGGCACATGGTTCCCAGTCTGTAACTTTCTCTACAATAAGCTATTTTATATGAAACCACTAAATGACTTTGTTTACATCGCAAGGACAGAATCAAGTGTACAAAAATGTGGAATTTGCCTTTAAATGTTTCTGTTGCTTTAGAAAAGCTTATGGAATCAGTGAAAATGTATTTGTGAGTTCAGACCATGCCTTCAACATGGTGGTAGTATGAGGGAAGACTCTTATGCAACTATTTTGTAATACAGCGTTGCTGCAAAATTTAAAAATTTAATTCAGTTCTTTTAAATACCTTTTTATAGTAATTAACCCTTCATGTTTTAAAACGTGGTAAAAATGTATTAAAAATATATTTCTTTACAATGACTATTTTACAGTTGCTTCATTTTTTAATGAAGGTATCATTTTATCAACTTTTAAAATAAGAAGGAGAACAAGAACAATAATAAGTATGCATACATTACAGTAATGTAATTTAAAGGGGTATGGAAAATCACTATTTTACAGTTTTGTATTTCCTTGTTAATCTGTTAAAAATTCAGAATACTTCTATATTCAAATAATTTACTCTGCAATCCAAAGCACAGCCCATGAAAAAGCACCCACTTAGCTTTCAAAACATATAGATTACAGTTATTGTTTATTGTTTTTACAGCTGTGTATATGCACAGTACAACAGCGTCATCACACTTGATATGTTCTACAGACAGAGAAAAACATGTTAACTGACTTTGTGTAGAAATTTGAAACATACTGCAATAAATACACAGTTCTGACCAATGAATCTGATTTTAAGGTCTGCTGTTATTCCGTATGTAAGTTATGCTAAAGTTATTAGCAATATAGTACTATGAACAATTATAAATGAGGGGAAACAATTTTAAGACAAATTCATATGGACTAAAAAGAAAAACTGACCAACAGAGTAATACAGAGGTCTGAACCCCAGCAGCACTCCTAACATACCTGAGCCAGATAATGATCAGCTGTCCATAATGCCTGAACACTAACATTACTGATATCACACTGCTAATGTTACCGATCTGTCCTTTCAGAGTTAAATCCGTGATGAGTGAGAGAACTGTCAGATTCACAGCCCATCGCTTCTTCCTCTGGTTTTTCTCAGTGTTGGTCTTCTTTGTCAGAGATATGAGGAAAATGCATCTGTTAAAAAATCAACTTTAAGACAATAAATTTGAAATTACTTTTGGATCTGCGTACACAAGCAGGCTGAATTTAAAGAGGACCTGTTATGCTAATTTCCAATGTTCATAATTTTAATTTTGGGGTCCACTATAATACATTTACATGCTTCAGTGTTCCAGAAACACATTATTTTTCTCATACTGTAAATCTCTACTCACCCTCTGTCTGAAACGCTCCTGTTAGAGCTCCTGTGTCTTTAAGCCCCTCCTTCCTGATGAGCCCAGTATGCTCAGATTAGTCAGCTCGCTCACTTGGTTCTGACTGATTAAGCGCCAGAGCGGTTCCGCCAATACACGGGCTCCGGTAGATGCGTTGCATTGTGTGAGGGCGTGCCAAGCTCGCTGGTAGGTGGGCAATAAGGATTGTGTTATGGGATTACATCATCTTGTAACAAAGGAAAAGGGCTGGGGAACTCCAGCCCTCAGGCAGCTGAGAAAAGTGGTTTCTGTGGGAAAGAGTTTCTCCCTCTGGCAGATACTTTCAGCTTTGAATCTTACACACACAAAAAGCTACATAACACAGTAAATAAAAGGGAAAGCATTATATATTCCATTTATAAGTAGAATATAATGTACAGTATACATAATTTTACTCATCTAAAATCAACTCAGGCATTTAGTACACAAAGAAATGTGACAAGGCTTTAAATAATACCTATGCATGAACTCCAGCGTGGCATCCAGCTCACACGCATAGCTGATGTTCAGACAGTGATGTTCAGTGTAATGAAAGAAGCATCAGGATGAGGCCACTTGTGTAAGAGCACAGTTGAGTGTTGAGATGATATGGACTGCCACCATACTGGATGAGGCCCAGAGAGAGGATGTTCCTTGGGAAGGATTGAAAACAACAAAGGTCATTAGATAATTCACAATTCTATTGTTTTCATCCTCTAACATGCCAAAATCAACACATGACAGAAATGGTCAGGACAGCTCTCCTGCAGCTCAGAGGAAGTTTTCCTTCCTGTACACTGACCTTGAGCACTTCAAGCACATCCTGACCCAACATACGCCAAAATGCCTTGTAAAATTCCACAGGGAGACCATCAATCCCTGGTGCCCGGCCGTTTTCCATACCCTGAAGGGCCTCATACAACTCTCCCAAGGAGAGCTCAGCATCAAGCAGGGTGGCAGACTGCTGTGTGATTCCGGCCTGCAGTGGGAAGAACGTCTCCTCCACCTCCTGGGAACTGGCCTGCTCGCTCTCAAACAGCTTAGAGAAAAAGCTGACTGTCTGCTGGCGAATTTCAGAAGGCTCAGAAATGAGATCCCCCGATTCAGACCGCACAGCATGTAGAAACTTTTTCTGTCCGTTTTTGCGCTTTAGACCGAAGAAGAACTTTGAAGGAGCATCCATTTCCGTCACATTCTGCTTTTAGAGATCTGATTATGTCCCTAGTGACATTGAAAGTGTACTGTTGGCAAAACACCTTAATTTGTACCTTTGCTACATCCCACCACTGTTGTAATGAATTAAAAGATGTTTTCTGTGACTTAAAAACATCCCAAAAAAAAGTAAAAGACTCCTTAAAATTAACGTCATTGTAGCATGGCTTGTGCTACCCCGGGCTCAAGGAGGACACTGGAGGCAGGGTTCAGTGTCGCAGCAGCCATATTTCTTTTATTCACACCACAAAATAAACACAACTCAAACAACCAAACTATGCTGGCCACTTTTCAGTGGCTTAAGCTGGCTAGACTTTTCAGTCCTTTATCCTCAGCTTTTCAGCTCTTCAGTCCGCTCCGCCTCCCCGTCACAGCCCCCAGCTGGCAGCTCAGCCGCCCAGGTCGAACGTGAGGTGTAATGGAGCGGCCTCGCTGCGTAACAGGGGGCGGGGCCCAGGCGGCGGAGCTAGGGACTCGCTCCTTACCCTGGTGCCTCTCGTTGCCGGCGCCGTCGTCGTCTTCCTCCTCCTCCCACCGTCGCTCGCGTCACTCGGGTTACTCGGAGGAGCTCGGGCTTTGCGCTCCGCCCCCTCCACGGCTCTCTCCCTGCCATCCTGGCTGAGGTTCATCGCTGCTGGTTGTTCGGGCCCAGCCTTCCTGCCAGCTCTCGTGGCCGTCATCGCCGGGGCCCGGGGGGCGGGCACATGCCACAGTCATCTAAAAGTGCAGTATTAAAATGCCAGTATGCACTCTGAGGCTTAACGTTACACTTTTTAACAGTACACTGAACCATACAATGATCAGAGAAACCAACAGGAGAAATAAAACACTTCGTAAAAACAGACAAATGATGTCTAAAACTGTAAAACCGATCAAGTCTGGCCAATGAGAGGGCATTATCCCTACAGTGCGTCCATGTGTACTGTCTTTGGTTACCATGTAAAGTTCTCCATATGTCACACAGGTCATGAGCCTCTAAGAGTTCACACAGACGCCGGCGGGAAGCAGTGTGTGGTTCTAGG